CTAGCAAAACCAATGATAAGAAATTACACAAGGAAAAGCACCTCTGAATATATATGGCCAAGAAAACCCTAAGAAAAGCAGGGTGGTGTACAGGTTTGAGTTCTGGACTGGAAAACAATGGGCAAGTTACCTCTCTCAGCCTCAGTGGTAAAAGAAGAAAAGATACTTCTGAATAAATCTGACTAAGAAAACCCTAGGAAAGGCAGTGTGCTGTGGTGGTCTGAGTTCTTGACTAGGGCACCAGCAGACCAGGCCATGGAAATCCACTAGGTGACCTTGGGCAAGTCACACTCTCACTTAGCCTAATATGAAGGCAATGGCAAACTCCCTCTGAACAAATCTTGCCAGGAAAACCCCATGATAGCCTTGCCTTAGGGCCACCATAAGTCAGAAATGACCCAAAGGCACACACCACACCACACCAGCTTCATTTCCACAGGCTTGCAATCAAATATGGCAATTCTGCTCCTTCTGTCCACTGCCAGAGTTGCCATAAATGGTTTGGCTACAGCCTAAGCCTCCAGCCAGCCAGCCAGCCACCTGGACTTTCTACCTTGTACTCTTCGGAGCCCTGCGAAAGCTGTTTCAGTTGGGAATCCAGCTGCATGAACCGGCGCGTTATCCTTTCGATGCGGGCGTGGAGGTCACGGTACTCGCCGTACTCTGCGTTGAAGTCATTTTTGTAGCTCTGGCGTTGGTCCGAGGAAGAGATGGCACCATATTTGCTGGAGTGGGAAGAAGAATTGAAAAATGAGGGGAAACCTGGAGTCCTGTCTCCAGTTCTGGGCACCATAGTTCAAGAAGGATATTGATAACTGGGAATGCATCCAAGGCTGAAGGTCTGGAAACCAAGCCTTTTGAGGGATGGCTCAGGGATGTTTAGCTTGGACAGCGAGGTGACATGACAGCCATCTTTAAATACCTGAAAGGCGGTCATGGAGCCACTTTCTTTTCTTTTGCTCCAGAGACCAGAATACGAACCAATGGATTCAAACGAAAAGAAAAGCGATTCCATCTGAACATTAGGAAAAACTTCTTGATGGGAAGATTAGCCTGAGAGTGGACCAGACTGCCTCAAGGAGTGAGAAAGAATAACAGAATCTTAGTTGGAAGGAACCCCAAAGGCCACTTAGTTTAACCCCCTGCCATGCAGGAAATTACAACTAAAGCACCTCTGAAAAATGCCCATCCAACCTTGGTTTAAAGACCTCCAATGATGGAGAGTCTACCCCCCACCAAAATAGTCCATTCCCTTCCCAAACAGCTCTTACAGCCCAGACTTTCCTTCTAATGTTTAGATGGAATCTCCTTTCTTCTAATTTAGATCCACTTGCTCATGTTCTAGTCCTTGGGGCAGAAAAGCTCATTTCACCTTCTACCTGGCATCACTTCAGACATTTAAAGATGGCTTTCATGTCACTTTTCAGTCTTCTCCAAGCTAAACAATCCTCTCTTCCTCCGTCATTCCTGATAAGGCTTGGTTTCCAGAACTTTGATCATCTCAGTTGATTTTCACTGGACACATTCTAGGCAGAAGTCTTTCTTTGGAAGTCTTGAAAAAGAGCATAGAGGGCCAACTTTTGGGGGTAATTTAACTGTTTATTCCTGCACTGGCCACGGATTAGTTGGCATTTGCAGTCTCTTCCACCTAAGTAAACAAAGACAGAACAAACTCTGGAGGGGGTCCTTCCTCTAGAGGTGAAGCTGAGAAATTCCAGAGCCAAGTGTGTTTTAAGTCTTTTTAAAGTCTATGAAATCTAGCTAGGTTGAGAAGAAATAAGCAAATACTTCAAATTAACTAACTAACTAACCAATCAACCAATTAGATGGACTGAAACGAGGATGAGACAAATTTAGGGAGAAGATGGTGTATAGCTACAGAAACAGAACTCCTGTGTCCCCCTAGCTGTTCTTGATTATTTGTTTTATTCATATTCCATCCTTGTAAGAGGTGCAGGTAGCTCAGTGTCTATAGTGGGTTGGTAAAATGTGGCCCCAAGGGTCTTTTCTGTGGTTCCTGATACCCACAAACCAGTTTTCTAGGGGCACTACGTTTCAAATACAGTACTGGACACCCTTCTCTTCTCACCCACCTGTTTAATATTTAAAATAACCAATTTTGAAACCTAGAAGTAGAAATACAGCCCAATCAATGTTTTCTATGCCCTCTTGGAAGTGGGTGGGTTAATAGGGTGGCTTAGAAGGGCAGAGGAATTAGCGCTTGGATTGATGGATGTTGCCCACCCTCATCTACAGTTAGTTGTGTTCTGGGTATCTGAATGCCAGCAAGACAAACAGAAATGGCTCCTGCTCTGCTAGTGGGCATTTGGGTGCCCCATCTCCAATAGGAAGTTGAACCCTCCAAATAGATGGATAAATAGGCTCCACTTTCAGCAACTCCCCCTTTTCTACTGTGGAAATCGACAACGCTTGCTCACTGACACTTACAGTAAGTAATCTGGCGTTTCCAACGTCGATGTTGTTATGTTGGCATCATGGCATGTCCCATTCAAATCTGGAAAACAAAAAGGAGGGATGGAGTGGAAGATGATGGTTGGCACACTTGAACTTTGACAAAATAGGTGTTGCTTTCTCCCATCTTGGGAGAGAGGCAGGGTATAAATTCCAGATAAATAAATAAATAAGATTGAATTGAGGAGGAGAGGTGGTAGTGACAAAAGACTTTAAACATTTCATGCTGAGGATTCAGGGCAGAAGGGGAGGGAATCATGCAAATCCTCTGTATCAGCAGTTCCCAAACTTTACTCTCCATTTGTTTTGTACTTCAGTTCCCAGAAGCCCCAACCAACTTGGCCAGGAGACAGGGATTATGGGGGCTGAAGTGCAAAATGTCTGGAGGACCCAAGGCTGGGAACCTCTGTCAGTGATTCTCAAACTCTGGTCCTCTGTGTGCCTCAGCCATCTTGGCCAATGGTCTTGAGATTCTGAGAGCAGAAGTCCAAAACATCTGGAAGGTAAGAGTTTGGGAAGCATTGCTCTAAATATTCCAGTCTGATGTTAACCAAGAATAGGTTCACTGGTTGCCTCTCTATTTCAGGGCAGAATTCAAAGTGGAGAATTAATAATTTATAAAGCCCTATAGTCTCACATATATGTAAACTTGCCCACACATTGAGATCTGGGGAGACCCACTGTCTGTCCCACCAGCTTCACAGGTGGGCACGTGAGAAACAGGGCCCTTTCGGTGGTTGCTCCATTCACTCCCTTCCCAGAGCTGTTAGACTGGCACCCTCCTTACTATCTTTCCACAAACAAGGGAAAAATCTACTTATTCTGGCCTTTGAGAATTGATCTTTCCTGTGAAACAGGTCTTCTGAAAAAAGCTGGGCTTTTATTTGCTACTGTTGTTGTTTTATATTAACTGGTTTCAAATTTTATGATGGTTTATAATTGTCTGTTGACATCTGCAGGCTGCCAATTTTTAACTATGCAAAGGGATCTTGTGGGTACCTTTCAGACTAACTGCAAGAAAGATGTTGGTATATTCTCAGATGCATGTTTAAGCCTAGGAAAGCTCATGCTACCAACTTCTCTCTTTCAGTTCATCTCAAAGGTATTCTAAGAACCCTTTGCAGACTGATTTTCCAGACTAACCTGGCTAGGTCTTTGAATTTTTAATAACTATGTTTGTTTGAACTGTTATAAGTCACCCTGAATCTCAATCAGGGAGAAATGCACAGGTTATGATGATGATGATGATTAGTTGTAGTAATAGTATTGGTGGTGGTGTGGTGTAGTAATTTGTGTGTTGGACTACAACTGTAGAGACAGGGTTTGAATCCCCATTCAGCCATGGAAACCAACTGGGTGACCTTGTGCAAGTCATGCTCTCTCAGAAGGCAAAGGCAAAACCCCTTGGAACAAATCTTGCCAAGAAAATCCTGTGATAGGTTTGTCATAATGACTTGAAAGAACACATCAACAACAGACCTGGAAGGGATTCCCAAAGATAATCCAGTTCGACACCCTACTGCTGCAGAAAATCCAGAACTAAAGCATCCCTGAGCCATCCAATTTCCTGATGGGTCTCCTTAGGGTTGGCATAATTCAGAAATTATTTGAAGGCATACGGCAGTCGCACTAACTACAACAATAACAGTAATAGGAAATAGCAGCAGCTGCTGGAGTGGAACAATCCAATAGCCCCACTAACTAGCAAAACCAATGATAAGAAATGCTGGGAGTTGCAATCCAACGGTATTTGGAGGACCACACTTTGCCCACTCCTGATTTAGGGCTACTAGCAGGATCACGTGTGGCAACAACAGCACAGGGTAATATTAAGACATTGTCTCACAAAAAAGCCAGGCAGCAGGGGGCAGGAGAGAAACGCTTGACTTGCCCTCGAGTGCCACCTCCTGAGGATATTCGGTAAGCAGTCATAAACTGGGCAATGTTTTGCAAAACAGCTGCATTCCCATAGCAAGCAGAACATGCCAGGAAGTCACGTTAGCCAACTCAATAATAAAAATGAAAATAAAAGGAAGCCTAAGAGACCATCTTTATTAGGTTGTTGTTATATGTCTTCAAGTCATTTCCAAGTTATAGCAACCCTATAATGAGTCTATCTTGGCAAAATTTGTTCGGGGGGTGGGTGGGTGGGTTGCCTTTGCTTCCCTTTGGAGGTTGAGAATGTGTGACTTGCCTAAGTTCAGTGGGTTTTCAGGGCCAAGAAAAAAATTATATATTCTATTATAGTTCTATATTATCTTTTTAAATATGCCATCTATAGTAGATATCAAGGAGGCAGTTTGTATATTGCAATTGTTCTTTTTTTTCTCTTCATTAATCACATTAATACTGATATGCAATATCATTGTATTGTAACTTTTATATATTTGTATTTGCAACTGTCTATGGGTATGTTATGTGTATATTATTTATTATGTCATTCCACATTACTTTCTTTAGTATATTATTTATAGCACATAAAATTACCCTTTCTACACATATTTTTGTATACCATTATATAACATAGAGCCAGTGTGATTGTAGTGGTTTGAGACTTAGTCTATGACTCTGGAGACCAGGGTTCGAATCCTGGCTTGGCAGTGTGAACCTACTGGCTGACCTTGGGCTTCCTTGGCCATTTACTCCTGTTGCCAGTGGACTTTAAATTTTACTTCTTGGAGTTTACTCTTTGTCTCCCAGAGCCTGCATGGCCAAAAAGGAGGAATGGCCAATGCCTACATGGATATTCTTCTGTACCATCTTAAGTGAAAACAACTGTAACAACATCTGGACAAGATGTAGGCCTATGACTTTAACGCTGTCATTCCCCCCCCACCCTTTTCTCCTGTTTGACTGTTAACACCTTTGCCTGGTGAAGAAGCCAGTGGAGCTTTTAAAGCTTGCAACATGTATAATGTGCATTTTGGCCAATAAAGTTATTGTGGATTTTGAGTAAATGGTACAATTAAATGGAGTAAACTCCCTATCTTCTGAACTGAGAACAACAAAATGCAGGCTTATGACTGACATCTTCAATTTTAACCCCCCCCCCATATAGTCTTTTAACATCTTGCTTGATGAAGAAGCCAGTGGAGCATCAAAAGCTTGCAACATGTGTAATGTGCATTTTGGTTGGCCCAATAAAGGCATCGGTGTTTTGTGGATTTTGGATGATGCAGTACTTTGCTATATGGCTACACCTGGATATGTTGTACGAGTAAATGTGTTACTCTTCAAAATGACTAGCAAGGGGCAATGTACTTTTCCCCAGGAGTAATGCCATTCACCGTGGGGCAAGACTAAGGGGAATCCCACTTTCAAGCGACCCTTCGCTGCAAAAAGGGGCATAGATCACAGACACAACCCGAGGGCCTACCCTGAACTGCCTGTACAAACTGAAGCCACACATCTTACCTTGATCCTGACTCACACCATTCAACTATTACCCCCAAGGGCCCACCCTAGTGGGGACCAACAACCAGAAGTTTGCACCCACCTGCCACATCTTGTGTGGGATCCATGGCTGCGCTGCTCTCCTTTTTCAGTTCACAGTTTGGCTTCTCTCGGGGGCCTGCCTGAGGTGGTGGTGGTAGTGAATGTTCCTCTTTCCTTTCCCTCTCCTTGTGCTTCTTTGATTTCTTCCGGAATTTCGAGTGTGTGCTGCCATTGTGTTTGCCAGCCTGATCAGAGTCTGTTGCCGGCCGGGCAGTAGAGAGCTTCCCTCCCGTCTCGCCCGCCGCTTCAAAGTCTCTGCCGTTGTGACTCAGGTCATTGCTAACATCGGCCAGAGGGTCGTGGGGCCTGGGCAATTCCAGAGTGGGTGCGAGCGAGCTGGCACTGAGGGAATCCGTCATCACTGCTGCTGCCATGGGCAAAGGGACCTCTTTGCTGTGGGCCGAGTTCAGTTTGCCATTGAAAGTAGGCTGAGTCCTTTGGGCAAAGTGGGAGATCCGCAGCTTCTTGCTGGACAAGGGGTCAGTGAATTGCAGGGGTTGGGCTCGTTTCTGGGGACATAAAGAAGAGAACTGCTGTTGTTGTTTTTAAAAAAGAGAATCGCAGCATTCTAGATTTGGAAGGGACCCCCCAGCCATGGAGGAAGACACAACTTAAAGCCTTCCTGAAAGATGCTCATCCAATCTTTGTTTGTTCCTCCTAATGCTTGGTTTTGAGACCTTTGATCATCTTGGCTTTCCCAAAGTATATTTAAAGAAAGGACCCCAAAATGGAAGTTACCTTTGGCCAATTGTGTGTTTGTCCTAGGCTGCTCACAGTTAATCTAGGGGAGGTGGTGCAGCTGACAGAGGGCAAAGGGGTGTATATATGCCACCCCAACTCCCTTAGAAGTTGCCCAATTCTGGCACAATGAAGTAACTTTTTCCAATTACTGTTAAAGGTTTTTTAATGCTTTCTTTTTGCCATTTGCTCATTAATCCTAAGTGTTTTTTTTTTATAAAAAGGAATGAATAAGAAATCAGCAGCACAACATGGAATGTAAAGAGTTGCCCCCATCCTTCTTCCCCACCGTACAACTGGAAGCGATGCTCTCAAGTGCCCTCCAACATCAGAATGGGAAGAAGGATGGAAACTTATTGTGGATGCCAGAGGGCCCCTGTTCTTGCACCAGGGCCTACCCAAGCTTTCAGATTTTCAGGGGAGGCCTTTTCCCCAGTAACACCACCTCAGAGGCAAGCAAGGATCTTTTCTGTGCCCGCTCTCTATTTTCAGAGCTCCTTTCCTAGGGACGTAGCCTCCTCGTCGGACCCCTGACACCAGCAGACAAAGAACACCTTTATCCAGACAACTGAAGCGTAGGGACTCTGAAGGATCTGTGTGCTTTTCAGTGCCTTTCAATTCCATTCTGCTTTAATACTATGATTTGTTTAAATGGAGTTTTAAAAGATTGCCCAATCTCTTGTGTTGTTATTGGTACCTAGTTTTTAACGTGACCTTGAGCTCCCTTCCTAAAGAAAATGAAATCAAATGTAAGTGCGTACAGTTAAGCAAAAAGGTATTCCTGGTTCCAAGATCCAAAACACATTGCAGAAATAATCCAGTTTGATACCACTTTAACAGTGCTAGGAAATCCTGGGAATTGTAGTTTATTGTAGCACCACAGCTTTCTGACAGAGAAGTCTAAATGTCTCACAAAACTACAGTTCCCAGGATTCCCTAGCACTGAGCTAGGGCAGTTAAAGCAGTCTCAAACTGAATTATTTCTGCACTGTTTCTGGATCTAAAGATAAATTCTGACAGCAATTGTGCATGTGTATGAAGGAAGAAAGGTGTGTTTGCATGCTCTCTGTCAGGGAGTGAAAACTTTCAGATGCTTCTGACTTCTGCGCCAGAAATGCCCAACAGAGTAGCTAACAGTTAGGAGATTATGGGAAGTCTAGCCCAGAACACCAGGAAGATCAAAAGCTCCCAGCTCTACAAGCTGGAGGCTGCCTTGGGCCCATCCAGAACCAGAAATCTATGTCAGCTTGCCCTCCTGCCACTGTTAATGAGGTGCCATGATCAGTGGGAGATTGTAGGGTGTTCCATCTTACCTGAGGAGGGGAGGACGAGACGGGCATGTCGTCGCGGGGGGGACTGGGTACAGGGTTCTCCGAGGGGCAGGCAGCATTGGGTGGCTGGCAGAGTTTCCTGGAAGACAAACAGAGGGCTCAGAAGGGGATCAGAAAGTCTACATACAACCTGCCATGGTACAGCTCACCCAACTGTTGGGGAGCAATGAGCTTACAGTTGTAAACTGCTTAGATATCCCACAGCGCAATATGAAGCGGCATATAAATGATGCTTCTTTGCTTGCTTTAGCTCTCTTCTGCAAAGATGCAAAAGCCCAAGGCAACTAAAAACAACTATGTTACAAGCAAATATGGGATGGTTTCTGATTTCAAATCTGTCTAAACATCAGAAGCCACCTGTTCCATCATGTTCTAGAATTGTGCATACAGAGATAGGGAAAGTTACCCTTTTTTGGATGTCAGCTCTCCATCATCTTCTACCTAGCATAGTACATCTGAGGAAGTAGACCAGTTCTACAAAAGCATATACTACAACTTCTTTTGCACAGTTAGTCTCAAGGTGCTACAGGATCCCTTTACACTGTCATGCTTACTGAGGAATTCTGGGAGTTGTTATCCAATTCCACCCATTTTTTTCTTGATTGTAAGAACTAACAATCGAATGGATTGCCTTGGAAGAAAACAGAATACTGGAGAAGTGGCATGATACAACCATCCTTAAATAGTTGTAGGGATGCTATAGAGAAGATGGAGCCGACTTGTTTTCTGCTGGTTCAGAGACCAGAATATGAAGTACTGGATTCAAATTATAAAACAGATTCCACCTAAATATTAGGAAGAACTTCTTGACTGTAAGGGCTGGTTCAACAGTGGATGGAAGGTGGGTGGACTCTCCTTTTTTGGTGGGGTCTTTACCAGTGATTTGCAAACTATGGTCCCCCAGGTGTTCTGGACCACCTCCCAGAAGTCCCAGCCATTTAAGTCAAACGTTAGGAATTCTAGGAAATGAAGTCAAAAACATCTGGAAGACCAATGTTTTGGGACCACTGCTTTAAACAAAGGCTGAAATGTCATCTTTCAGGAATACTTTAGTGTCCTGCATGGTAGGGGGTTTGAATAGATGGTCCTTGTGGTCCTTTCTGTAATCCTATGGGTAGTTCAACAGCAGGAAAGACTGCTTCAGAGATCTGACTGGTCCCCTCCCTGTTGTTCTTTGACTGGCAGGCAATTTTTTTTTTATTCAGGTGGTCATTTGTCAACTCGTCAGCTTCTAAAGACAGGCATGGCTTTAGACTACATGTCCCTTGCAGTCCCTTTCCACTCTAAGAGTTTATGACTCCATGACCCTTTCTGTTATATACTTCCCAGAATTGTTGACTACTTCCAAGTACTAAATGAGTACTAAATGTATACTTCCAAGAACTGAATGGAATTTTGCATTATTATTACTTCTTAAAATAAAGTGCCTTCCAGTTTTTAGTTTTTGCCTTTTAAACACAACCACAAAAACCTACCTCTGGCAGGCTATGTGAGAACTCCAAAACCTAGAACCAGTAGAGGGTATGTCTGTGTATGTGAATAGGAAGTTTAGGCTTGACACACAAAACTCCTATCTTCTCCCCTTGCATCACAATTAAGCAAGTAATGTCCCACATTTGTCACATCTCGTGTTTCTATCGTGGGTATTACTATGTGTTTTTTTTAAAACTGTTAAGGCAAACCAAAAATCTCTCCTTTTCTGCCCTCTTCTCTATTTGAACAGTTTCCACTATTTGGGGAAAAAAAAAAAAAAAAGCCTAGTTGGCTTCGAGTGGAGACACTTGTTGATTTAACAAGAATCCGAAATGCCCAGAGTTTTCTTTGGCAAAGGCAGATGGTGTGTGTGTTGAGGCCTGGATGCCAAATTAGAATTAAATGGAAAATTACAATTCACAAATGTCCTGCAGAAAAACATGCTATGGAGGGGTGTGCGGGTAAGAGTTCATAGAGCAGCTCTCAGAGTCTCTATGTTCCCTTCTCCAGCTCTGTTCCTCTCTTTCTCCCTCTTGTGTATACACACACACACACACAGAGGC